GCAGTATGAGGAGAGCCCAAGGCGACAACATAACGGTAAGAGGCAGGAAAGTCAATATCAATGTAGCAACCATCAGAGAAGTACTGCAATTGCCAAAGGTAGATCTTCCTCATGAAGTAGCACTGCATCAGATGATGGAATTTGACAATGAAGAGGAATTGTCAAGTATGCTGAGTAATGAAATTGAGGTCATCTAGTCATTCAAGAATGGCAACCTCCGACACTTCCCAGCTTCAGACTTGAGACCAGAATACAAGTCCTGGTTTAACTTTATTTGCACCAATATCATATCAGATCGACATCGGAAGAAGGTGACTAATGAAGCGGCAACATTGCTATACGTAACAGTCACCAACACACCAGTAGATGTAGCAGAAGTAATCAGAGAGCAGATTAGATATCTGCGCTTCCAATACCCGATAGAACACTTGGTTTATTCCGGTCCTCACAAGGCTCATGTAGAGAGCAAATGTGCCATTCATAGATGCAGATGTCAGAAAGGAAATCCAGCAACCATGGCCTCTCGAGAATCCACCATATCTCTATTTGAAGGGATGAACCCCTTATCATCAAGGGAAGTATTCTGTTTCATTCTCTTTTCTTTTCTTTTATTTTCTGTTTCTGTATAGTTGAGTCTTATTTTCTTTTTCTCTGTTTTAATCTATGTGTTTAGAGTCCTTAGCATAGATTAAGTCAGTCTTGTCTTTTAATTTGTCTGTTTTCTTTCCAGTTTAACTACATGAATTCTATATATGTGCTTGTGTTAGTTTCTTCCCCTGTTTCTTTGTTTGTAAGCATTCAGGACAATGCTTGTTTTAAGTTTGGGGGAGGAATTTGTCTGGAATTGCATGTTTTAAACTATGACAGGATAAATTTTTGAAAAAGTTACAATTGTTTTTTTTTTTGTGTTTGTGTGTAACTGTGAATAATTGGATATATATACTGTGTCAAAAGTCTATGATGATTCAAAAAGGTGTGGGAAATTTTGAAATTTTGAACACTTATTGATGCACTTGAAGTCAGTCCATAGTTTTTCACTTTCTCAAGTACACAATGTCACTTGCCATAGTGAGAGTTCTGAATGCCTTAATTGCATTATTGTGATCTTATACTAGAGTCCACTTGTCTAAAACTTGGGGGGACTGTAATCCTGAGTGAAGACTAAGGCAGACATTCGCATCATAGCAGACGATTGAAACTTTTGGAAAATGGGGATGTAGGTAGTTGAAACTGAGTTTAAAAGAAAAATATACAATGAGGGAAGTTAGGTAGCCTATCCAATGAGGCAGTAAACCCCTGAGAGGTGAGGCTTGGCAAATAAAGAGAGGAGAGTCCTCTTGCCTGGTGAGAATAAAAGAAAAAATGTTTAGAATACCAAAAATGCTGAAAAAATGTGCTTGGTACATGCCTGAGTGGGAAAGATCCTGAAGAAAAAGCCATATGGACAAGGAGGAATGGGATGAGGGAGAAAAGATGCAACCAATGTTTCCGTAGTAATGTGAGGACGCCCTTAGAGTCTAAAAACCTCACTAAGAATACCCTAGTCGATGACATGCAGGAAATAGGTACTGATCAAAATGATGTCCATTTGTTCTGAAAATTGGTTAATCTTAGAATAAATCATAGGTAAAACTTGAATGTTGGTTATGACATATGCACACACACACTGAAGAACTGAGATGATGTCTTTCTATGATAAACAATGGTGTATAATCTGTCCAATAAGGGACTTGAATATGAGAGTAACATTGATACAATGTTGAATTCGTTTTTGTTCATTTAGCCACATTCTTTTTTGATCATTGTCATTTAACTTATCTATGAAAAGTCCATTCCTACTCTCTGAGTCTGTCCGTTTTTCTAGGCTAGTAGAAGTGGGTTTGAATCTGTTTGCATAAATAATCAGCAAACCTTTGAGTTTGAGGATTGTTACTTGAGGATAAGCAACTCCTTAAGTTTGGGTGAATCTTATAACACTAAACTATATACCCTTTTAGCAGGCATTTTCTACTCAATTTTACTTGTAACTAGATGTTAGTTAGATAGAATAAATTTACTTTTGGGTTGATTTTGCATTTCCGGGTGATCAAAGGACCAAAGTAGAATATCAGCATAAATGGGGGCCAAATTACACAAAATGGCATAAAAAAGGACCAAATTGAAAGCTGCAGGAAATCAGAGGCTGGAGGATCAATCAGAGCTGAGCAAGTGGAGAAATCTCACCTGAAGGAAGAGGATTGATGGTAGATGATCACAAGTGGAAGAACTCTGCAACAACAACTCAATTGAGGAAGAAGAATGGGCAGCTGATCTGCTGCCAAGTTTCTGCTGCAGTAGCAATAGCTACTGTCTATTGCTACAATCAATCAGGAGGAGTCACCAGCTGAGTTCTTGCTGCCCAAGGAAGGAATTGCTTCGCCATCACTGCAAGTTGTTACTGCTACAAGTTGAAGAAGAGATAGGGGGAGAATATGTGGAAACAACAGCTGCAACTCTTCTACTTACATGCTGTGACTGCTGCTGCTGAACAGATTGATCGGTTGCTGCACACATGTGACCAATGGTGTTGCATGTGATCCCAGGACACAAGGAACAAAAAGGGCAGAAGACTGAGGCTGAATGGGGGGCTAAAAAGAAATGATGAAAGGAAGCATGTTGCTGATGCTGTTGCTAGTTGTGCTCCTGAAGGATTAAAGAATGAGAAAATGGAGATTTCTGGCTGAAAATGGTGAGGGTGCACCTGAGAAGATGACTAAGAAGAGGAAGCAATGATGAGTAGAAGATGGCTAATTACGGCTGAAGAAGGAAGGAGCTACCAAAGAAAAGACAACAACTTGCCAATCGAGCAAGTTGCTAAATAAACAATTCCTTCAGGACTGCTGCAAGTTGATGCCACCAATCTACTACAAGAAGAAGGCCAAAACTCCACCAATCCAAGCCTCTCCAATTCTCTATGAATAGTCAGCCAATAGCTATTAGAAAAAAAACATACTGGGTAGTTATTATCAGTCCGAAACAGTTTAGAGTAGTTAAGTTAGTTGGGTAAAACAGTTTAGACCGGAAGTGAGCTGACAAAATCTACCTTGCTGCCTCTTTTCCCTTCTATCCTCTAACCTTTTGATCTTATTCGTGTCTCATCTTTTGTACTTAGTTTCTCTCATATTTAACTCAATAAACATGAGTAGCTAAACTCAGTTAACTGTTCAATTCCTACTATCTTTATATGAAGGTTCTGATTCAGTTTCCTAAGATGAGGCATTGTGTCTAGATAAGTGTTTAGAAAACCTTTTGATTAAATTGGCCACTTAATCGAATGTGCATACATAGTTATGAAGATCTGAGAGGGGGAGCATAAGTTTAGAACTTCTTTATCTAGTTTATTGCAAAGGAGGAAATCTACCCTTTGGTTTCAAACATCAATGAGAGTTAGGTGCATTGGCATAGGTGATCACATAGGGCTTAAGAACTAAATGGCTTAGATTAATCTCAATATTCTGATTGAGAGGTAAATAATTTAGTTATCTAGGACTCTTTACTCTATGTGAGAGTGATTGTAAAGAATATATGTGTATGATCAAACAATAAATCACACACAAACAGGATTACATGAATCAAAACAGGAACATAAAGATAGGAAGGTGATTGACCCGTCTTCTCTTCACTCTGTCAAGTGATTATTCTTACTCTCTGAAGTGACAAATCTGTTCATCCATGTTTCCCTTGTTTTGCACAAACATCAGATTTTAAGTGATTGACTGCCATCTCTGTGGAACGATCCTACTTATTGCTAGCTAATAGTTTTAAGTAGGTTTTCATAAAATTTCTTTTGGAAGTACCAACGACTCATTCACCAACAGTACATGGATTTTTGTGAACTAACTTGTGTAACGTGAAATGGTTTGTGTTTTGTACAATTGATATATTAGTGAATATGAAATCTATTCAATTTGCCATATCTACCGAATCAATACAAAAGATAAAAAATACTGATTTATGAAATTGTCCTCTTGATGCGATGCAATTGCTGTAAACTTCATAATTGGTTTATATCTTTCTTTCTCAAATCCATACACTAAAAATTTTGGAGGAAACCTCATACTTGCATTTTATGAGTGACTTCTATCCATTTCAAAATACTTTCCATTGTTATATACTTCCTCCGACCCGAAGCATAAAAAAATTCTGAAAAATTTTAATGTTGTTTTGTGTATTATAATTAGGATCAGAGAGAGTATGAGTGATATACTATCAAGCCTTAAATGTTCTCCAAATGTCAGTGATAAAGTTTACCAAGAAAAAGTAAAAAATATTGTTAGCAGTCAACATTCGTATCTGATCTATTCTTTATTAATGTCACGCCCCACCTATTTCATGTCAATTACTAGAATTTGATTCCTTTCATATCTACTCCATTGATGGTCAGTTTTATGGGAATTTTCCGAGTGAACATAAAAATATCTCAAATTCATCATTGTCATACCAAACAACTTTCTTTTCCTTGTAGAATTTAACCGGTTTAACTTCCAGGTGTTTGATGTTTTCATACTACAGCTTAGAGAAAGAACTAGCATAGGTCAGGGATTTCTATTACAAATTTCGGTCGCCCAAGGTCGACAGTAAATTTAGTTAAAGTTAATGGGACTTATAAGGTTTTCCTCTAGGACTTTTTGAGGATGAGAGAATTGGCTTTTTGCGTATCTACAAGGCTTTTACTCTTTATAGTAATATAAATTTCCACCGGGTAATAATTGTATATGGTTATTTTTTAACTTTTATGCTTGTAAATTTCACGTGAATTGCACAAAATTTAACATAGGAACTAGACTAACTATTTCTATCACAAAAATTAGTGACAAAATTATATCTTTAGTTGGCTAACATCTATCTCATCAATACACTACTTTTCAATACTGCTATTGACTTTTCTCTCTCTACTGCGTGCGAATTCACCAAGTGTGTGCAATCTACGCAGGATGTCTACAGTGGTAATCGTTCCTGCCATGGCGTGGAGACCAAGGAGGAAGGGAAAAGAGGTGACTGAGAAAGCAGATTCACAGACGGATGAAGAGATCTCCAATTCTATGGGCAGCTTTCAGCCTGTGGCAATGGAGAACCCTAAGTCGCCAGCGAAGTCAATTGAGGTAAGTAGCCCTAAATTGACTACTGTACTGCCTTTCTTAAATCATGATATCATGCTGGAATCGATTTGTGCTACTAAGATTGTTGAAATTGGAGAAAGTAATGGATTAGGGAAGGAGTATAGCAATCAGGGGATAATTGACGATAGGGGGAATAATGGAAAGAAATGGATAGATCTGTGTAAATTGTCAATAGAATACATAGAGCCTGTCACTGTTGATAGTTGGAAAATATGTAGAATGCAAATTCTTGATGTACAGGAAGAGATTGATTACTGGATGTCTTTGGTTCTATGCTATGTGTTGGGAGCCAATATTCCATATGGTATAATGTGTGGATTCATGAGGAGGAACTGTGGGATTAGGTATTGATAAAATTCTGCTAATGGAGAATGGTGTTTTCATAGTAAGATTCAAGACAATCCAAGCTAAGGAGGAGATTTTACGGCGAAATGTATACCATTTCGAGAACAAACCCTTTATAGCTAAGGATTGGAACTTGAAGGAGGGTATAAAGAAGGAGGAAATCTTGAATGTCCCTGTCTGGGTACAACTGCCATTGAAGTATTGGAATGCAAAATCACTTAGCAGAATGGCTAGTGTGGTTCGGAAACCAATTCAGATGGATGACACGACTACACAAAAGATGAAGGCATCATATGCTAGAGTTCTGATTGAGGTTACAATTCAAGAAGAGCTGCCTAAGGATGTTTGGTATGAGATGAGAAAGGGCAACTGATAATGCAGCTTCTCAAGCATCAATGGATGCCTTTTAGATGCTTAAACTGCAAAGGATTCGGGCATGAAGGAGGAAAATGTAGAAAGCAACCTGTTGTCAAGCAAGTATGGTCATCAAGGCAAGCTCCTGAAAAGAAGCCCGAATCAAGCAAACCAGATTCATCAGTAAAAGAGACTGAACAGCCAACAGAAACAGTTATGGAGGAACTGGATGCCTGCTTAGGTCTCATGCAGGAAGTGTACAGTGATCAGAATATACGAGAAATTCTAAGGCCACAGTTTGAAAATAGAGAAATGGTAATAAAGAGAAAAGAAGAGAGGGCAGGGGAAGAGGACCAGATCAGAGGCTTAGCCCCAATGAATAACCTCCTAATTTGGAATATTAAGGGATACATAAACCCCCTGAAATATAGGAAGGTTCTCAACCAACTCTCTATGAATAAAGTGGGATTAGTTGGACTAGTGGAGACTAAGATTACTGAAGAAGTATTAAAACAGTTGAAAAGCAAGGAATGGGATAAGTAGTGTATTTGCAGCAATCATTCAAAAACAAGAAAAGGGAGAATTATGATATGCTGGAAGGATGATGAATATAAAATAGATGTTATACAGATGTATGAGCAATATGTGCACTGCAAAGTTAAAGAGTTTGATAGGAAGTATGAATATGAAACTACTGTGGTTTATGCAGAAAATAGAGCTGAGAAGAGAACTGAACTATGGGATGGAATCATTAGATGGCATCTCAAATAACGGGGGCTTGGCTGGTAGTAGGAGATTTCAACTGCTTGCTAGGTAGTAGGGAGAAGATAGGTGGGAATGCATCTAATTTGAATGATATACAGCAATTTCAGGATGTGATTCAGCAGAGTCAACTGTTAGAAATGAAGACCTATGGGGGCTTATATACCTAGAATAATAAACAGCTGGGTGAGAAAAGGATCTGTTCAAGACTGGACCGGGTTCTAATCAATGAGAAATGGATCGAAAGGTTTGATGCAGCGACAACAACTGTTTTGCCAGAAGGATTATCAGATCATAACCCTCTGCTGGTCAAATGGAATGAGGAAAGGGTCTGAACAAAATCGACATTCAAGTATTACAATATGTGGGCTTATCATCAAGAATTCTTGGGTTTGGTTAAACATGTATGGACTGAAGAGGTTAAAGGATATAAGCAATTCACAGTATCACAGGAACAGAAAAAACTAAAGCAGATTTGGAGACAGCTGAATAAGAGGCACTTTGCAGACATAGATCAGCAAGTTCTGAAGTGTAGAGTAGAAATGGAGAAAGTGCAGAAGGAACTACTTCAACAACCACTGAATGAAGATTTTCAGGTACAAGAAAAAAAGGTAACAGCCAGTTATTTGGAAAAAAGTAAAGCAGCATACAGTTTCTTGCAGCAAAAGGCTAAGGAAAGGTTGATTCAAGAGGGTGATCTTAACACCTCCTATTTCCATGTTGTTGTCAAACAAAGGAATAGAAGGAATAAATAATAGCCTACGCCACTTCTGAGGGGATCATAGAAGAAGAATAGAGTAAAGTTGAGTGTCACTTCCTGGATTACTATCGGAATATGTTGGGTGCTGCAGAGGAGAGAATAGTCTCAGAAAAGGGAGTTTACAAAGAAGGTCATCTACTTACGCTTCTCCAAAAGGTCAGGCTGTTAAACGAATGCTCAGAAAATGAAGTCAAAAATGCTTTGATCTCCATTGATAAAACAAATGCCCTGGCCCTGATGGCTAGGGCGGTGGTTTTTATCAAAGAGCATGGGAAATTGTTGGTAATGTGGTCACAGCTACTATTCAGGAGTTCTTTACCAATGGGGTACTATTGATGCAATGGAATGCTACGGTGATCTCTCTGATTCCCAAGACAATTATACCTAGAGATGCAATAGAATATAGGCCCATCTCCTCTTGCAATACTCTATATAAGTGTTTGGCTAAAATACTCAGCAGCAGATTTGGAGAAGTTTTGCCAGACTTGATTAATGAAAACCAAGGAGCCTTTATAAAAAATCGATCTATCTTACATAACGTTCTTCTGACACAAGAACTTATGAGGATCTACAATAGGAAGGCAGCTTCTCCAAGATGCATCATGAAAGTGGATATTAAAAAAGCATTTGATTTAGTTTCTTTGGGATTTGAGGATGAAATGCTAACAGAATTTGGATTTCTTGACAGGTTTAAGAGCTGGATTATGAAATGTGTCACCACCAGTTGCTACACTCTCAACCTTAATGGTCAGTATGTGGGATATTTCAAAGCTGAGAAGGGTCTTAGACAGGGGGATCCCCTATCCCCCTTACTTTGTGTTATGTTCATGGAATACCTTACCAGGAAATTTCATATGGAAGCAGCAAAACCTGGGTTTAAGTTTCACCCTCACTGTAAAAAGCTCAGAATTACAAATCTCAGCTTTGCTGATGATTTGATAATTATGTGCAAAGCAGAGGTGGGTACTGTCAAAAGAGTAAAGGATGTGTTAGACCACTTTGCTGGAGTCAAAGACAAGGAATTAGAGGAAATCTATCAAGTATGTGGGTTTCAAAAGGGCGAATTTCCAATGAAATACCTAGGGATACTCCTCTCACCAACAAAGTGGAAGGAAGAAGACTGCCAGGTCATAATCAATAAGGTGATAGGCAGGATTAAAATCTGAAATTCCAAGTATTTGTCATATGCTGGAAGAGTGCAACTAGCAAACTCTGTGCTATTAACTATGCATACTTCCTGGGCAAGAGTCTTCATCTTGCCGAAAGGAGTGATACAACAAATAACATGAATCTGTCAAGAATACATTTGGGGCACTAGAACAGATGGCAGAGCTCACCCTCTGATTGCTTGGGATCTAGTATGTAGACCTAAAGCTCAGGGGGGTCTTAAAATCAAGGAGCCAAGTGTTTGGAATGAGGCAGCAATTGAAAAGCACGTCTAGGAGCTTGCCATGAAAAAGGATTGTCTTTGGGTCAAGTGGGCACATGAGATTTACATCAAACAACAAAATATCTGGGAATTGCCAACCAAAGCTGACTCTAGTTGGCATTGGAAGGCTTTACTCAAGGTGAGAGATAAGCTTAAAGGAGGTATGGGCAGCTCTTGGACTGGTCACCCTTCTGCGCAATACAATATACAATCCGGTGATAAGTGGCTTTGAGGGAAGCAACCAAGGATGAAAGAAGCTGAAATCATTTGGAATAGGCTAAGCTTGCCAAAGCATAGTTTTATTTCCTGGGTTGCATGGCATAAGAAGCTCTGGACACAAGAAAGAATGGCACATCTTCATTTGCTGACTAGAAAAACTCAATGTGAGCTATGTTAGACTCCCATAGAGTCAGAGGATCATCTTTTCTTTCAGTGCAGTTATGCTGATCAACTGCTGCAACGTTTGGAAGGATGGCTTGGAATAGAAACAATGCCTAGAAACATGTCTGATTGTCAGAAAAGACTAAGGAAGATATGGAAGTACAACAAACTGAAAAAGGGTATATTGTTTGCTACTGTAAATGGGTGTATATACCATGTGTGGTAGGAAAGAAATTACAGGAAGTTTGCTGGGAAAAAGATGGAGGCAATGGTTAGAGCTGAGCAGATTCAGAGAGAGTTATTATGGAAACTTAAAGCTTGTTACAAGTCCATTAGAACTGGTGATAAAGAGTTTTTGTATAGATTAGGCTATACCGATGTATGTAATGAATGACAGATAGGACATGAAAATGACAGAAACAGAAATTGTATGATTGATTGTGAAAGTTTTGGAATGAAATTTTACCTTTTACAAAAAAAAAATTATATCTTTAACTTTTATAGCACGAAATTTTTCAATTACTCATTTACCCTTTCATGTTCAAAATTTGTGCAATTCCCGTTCAAAAAAACTAATAAATTATAGAAATTAATTAATAATTAAGTATTGAATATTTTTATGTAAAATCAAATTGAAATTAATTTTCATAATTTATGAGATATTCAGGATCCAGATTCATCTACTTCATTCTATTGTGGAAGGAAATGCTAGCACAATTTACTATTAAAACTGGTGGAGGGAGAACCCTTTTGTATCTAAGATGCGATGATATACACTCTTAGTTTCAATATCCTTTGAAACTGCTTTGTTTTTCATTTTTTCATCCACAGTTACAAGCATAGTCATAAATCAAAAGTTGATGTATTTGCATATGGGGTGATCTTTATGAAGTTGATCACTGCTCAGAAGGCTATGGATGATACACAACCGCAGGAAAGATCTTATCTCGCTGCATTGTCTGCTAAGGTGATTGTGAACAAGGAAGACATAAGGGAACACCCAGATCACGTACTTGATACCGATAAAAAACCATTCCAACGTATTTACAAAGTGGCAAAACTGGCAGCTCAGTGCATAGCTCGGAACCCAAATCAGAGGCCAACCATAGTGCAAGTTGTCTTCGTTTTACCTATGGTAAACAATGAATTGAAACCTTTTCTGCTCCACCAAATCCAAGCGGCTAATACCACAACAATGAGCACCACAATGCCTCCGCCGGCAGAGAGGTTGAAGAAAAAGTTGTTCGGTGGAGGTGGAGATGACATTTGGGATGGTTGTTTTTTTCTGAAATTTAGGTAGATATGATTTACTCCATAATAGAGGTTATATAATACAACCCACCTATTCCAATTGGGACCGGAGATGTCCATCTCTGGTAATCATTGGAAAAATTCAGGCAAATTGTCAAATTGTTTTATGTGTTACTTGAGGAAGACTGTATCAAATTCAACCAAACAAGAAATCTGGGGGGTTTCGGTTTTTTGTGTTACTTAAGGAAGACTGGTCTATTTATAGACCATATCATCAACAACTACTGTGCCAATAATAAAGGAACCTTTTTAATTTTCTTTGTTAGGTGAAAACCTGTAAATCGTATTAAACTTGAAAAGTCTTCACTTAGTTACAAGTCTCCCTACCAAAAGTGCTGGCCTATTTACATTCTTTCTACAATATTTTCCTACCAAAAGTACTGGATTATCCAAGTAAATAGACCATATTTTAACAAAAAAGACCTGGGATTATGCTTTCTTCCTGGGTTGTCTTCTTCCTTTCTTACAATGCTGGATTCTGACTTTAAGCAAGTTCCTGATTCCTTGAAAGATCTCCTCCACCTGCCTCTGTTTTGCTCTAAAGATTCTATGGTTACGTTCTTCCCAAATGCTATAGATTGTTGCCATCATAGCTGCATATAAGATCTTTTTCTGCAACCTGGTACTCTTCCAAATTGTCTTCAGTTCTACCTTCCATCTTTTCTGTCGCACTGTTAGGGTTTTGATACCCAACCAGGTCCTGATCCTGTCCAAGAGTGCACTAGAAAACTGGCAAGCAAAGAAGAAATGCTCAACGTTTTCACTCTGCATTCCACACAGACAGCATTTATCACCAGAAATTGTTAAATTAACCTGTGCTAGTCTATCTTTGGTCCAGATTCTACCCTGCCAAATAAGCCAAGCCATAAAATGAGAGTTTTCGGAAGGTTTAACCTGGACCAAATCATGTTTGCAGCATCCAGTCTCATATGTTCTCCCCGCAGCCACTTGTAACCCTCTGAGATTGTGTATGACCCTTTCCTGTTTCCAAGCAATTTCCCTCCCTGAAAACAATTTTTAGCTTTATCTCTTAACTTCATAATTTGCTTCCAGGATCAACTACTGTCTAATTTAGGTTGTACTTCCCAGAAGTTTTTCTTTCCCATATATACCTCATGAATCCATTGAACCCAAAGACTATCTTTCTTACTAGCTATACACCGTACCTGTTTCAAAATAGCAGCCTCATTCAATATCCTAGCATCCCGGATTCCAAGCCCCCCTTCTGTTTTGCTTTTACAGACTGTTTCCCATCCCACCAGTGCACTGTATCTTCCAGATTCCCGGACGCCCCAGAGGAACTCTCTGCACCTCCTATTGACTGCCTTTGTGATGCTTTGTGGGAGTATAAAGGATGATGCCCAGTAGGTATGCACACTCATCAGGACAAAATTGATGAGTTGCAACCTTCTGGCATACGAGAGATGCCTTGTACTACAACACTTCAATCGACACACCATTTTATCAATCAGAAGCTGACATTCTGTTTGGTTCCACTTTTTTGGTGAAAGCAGAACCCCAAGGTATTTCATTGGGAACCATCCTTCCTGGTAGCCTGTGAGACCACATATTTCCTGTTTCAGCCAGGTTAGCCTTCATTCCTGAGGTTGAGGAGAATTCTTTGAAAGCATCCGAGATCATCCTTATAGTAGGAACGTCTACTTTGCAGAACATCATTAGAGCATCTGCAAAGCAGATATTATTTAGACTCATCTTTTTGCACATTGGATGGAACTGAATTCCAGGTTGCCCAGCAGTCATTTTCAGCCTTCTTGTTAGGTACTCCATTAGTAGGACAAAGATGAGGGGAGATACAGGGTCTCCTTGTCTTAGACCTCGTTGTCCAGGAAAGAAACCCACGTTGTCACCAGGCATAGGGTGTATGTGGTAGTCCTAACACATTCCATTATCCATTTCACAAATCTACCTGAAAACCCAAAGCCTTTCAAGCATTCCTCTACAAAATCCCATTCTACCGAATCATATGCTTTTTGCAAGTCAATTTTCATTAAACATCTATTGCTAATTCCCTTCCTTCTAAACAATCTTATCAGCTCTTGAATAATTAAAATATTATGAAGAATAAGTCTACCCTCCACAAATTGCCCGTTGACTACTATCAATAACCTTAGGCAGTACTATTTTTAGCCTACTACTCAGAATTTAAAAAATAACTTTATATAGCACATTAGAACAAACAATAGGGTGGAATTGACTTGCATTATTAGCATATTCAGTCTTAGGGATCAGAGCAATTACCGAAGAAATCTGGTTCCCCATTAGCTTCCCTAATTGACAAGATTCTAGTTCTCATTCTCCTCTTCTTGAGCTTTGAGTGGAAGAACTTAATGTTGTGGTCACCCTCCAGAATCCAATCTTCCTTGAGCTTTTGTCTCATAAAACTCTCAACAGCAATGCTGGCCATCACACATTTCTTGTATGCCCCTCTTTTTTTTCCGTGGAGTTCTCCATCAAAAGGGCTTGACCTGAGTTCTTGTTGTATCTGGTTCAGTTCTTCTTGGGCCTTGGACTGTTGAACTTGAATGTCGGTGAATTTATTCCGATTTAAGATTTTCAGCTCCCTCTTTAATCTCTTGAGTTTCTTGGTAACTTGATACGTTCAAGTACCTTCAACCTCTCCTATCCAGCTATTTTCCACAACTTCCATAAATGTAGGATCATACTTCCACATGTTGAAGTATTTGAAAGGTTTAAGTTTCCTGGCCAGCTCCAATTCCACGTTCACCATCATAGAAGAATGATCCAAATGCCAGAATTCAAGACAGTAGCCACTGATAGATCATATCCTATCCAGCTCTGCATATATTCTAGCCTCCCCACTTTGGTTGTTGCACCAGGTGACACTGGTCCTTGCTGATTGAGGTCTTGTAGCTCACATTCATCCAAACAGTGTTGAAAATGTTGTATTGTAGGGAGCATACTTGTTTCCCACCCAGTTTCTCACTTGGTTTTAGGACGTTTGAAGTCTCCACCTACTATCCCTGCCTTGTCCACAGTTTTGCTAATGTCTATAAGCTGATCCCACAGTTTCATCCTCTCATGTTCTCCATTTTCTGCGTAAAGTACAGTCCGGCAAAACTCATCCTCACTTGCTTTTTGATAAACTTTGCAGTGAATGAACTGCCTATCTGTATTGATAATGGTGACGTCCACTGAATCATCCCAGATTAGCAAGACCCTTCCCTTACCATTCTAGCAATTACTTAGTCCATATCTCCATTGGTTTAGTACTGTGCTCATCAAAACTTTCACCTTCTCCTCTGTCATCTTTGTCTCTACTATACCAGCTATATTTATCTTATTAGCAGCCAAGACTCTACTGAGTTCTTTCTGCTTTATAGGGGGATTTAAGCCCCTAACATTAAAGGTTAATATATTCCTCATTAAACCCTAGATCAGGGTCCGGATCAATGTGCAATATCTCCCCTTTGGCTGCTTTACTTTTTGTCTCTCCCCTAGTTCCTGATGATGTTTTCTATTTCTTCCTCGGAGGAGTTACTGAGGATTGAGTACTTAGCTCGAATTTTCCCTCTATCTGCTTGGTCATCCCCCTTCTGTGCCCCAGTTGCTTCTGTCTTTTTAGTCTGTCCACTTCTGTTCAGTTTCTCCATACTCCTCCATTCCTTTTCTTCATTCTGTTTTGGTCCAGTCACGTTTTGTGTTTCAGCATGTTCTGTTGCCTTTGGCTTCCTACAATGTTTAGCCTCATGACCGTAACCAGCACAACATTTATAGCAGACAGGAGCCCATTCAAAGTGGACTCTTTGATCCCATATGACACCTTTTTCATCTTTGAACATTACCTTAACAGGGACCTCTTATCGGATTTCCATCTCTATCAATACTCGAGCATAATTTACCTTTTCCTTACTGTTTGTTAACTTATCAGACATAATAGGGGTTCCCAAAGTCCTAGCAATACAACTCAGGGAATCTGGATTCCAGTGCTTAAGTTCTAGGTTAGGGAATTGCACCCAAACCGGCACCTTATTCACCTCCCTATAGTTTATTCCCTCTTCTACCGACCAAGGGTTAACAATAATAGGTAATCCTTTTCCAAAATGGTAGACATTAGCAGGAAGGTCTTCTTCCCTGACTACATAGAGTTAAGCCGAATCACAAAGAGGCCAGAGTGCAATACAATTACCTTATCAACTCCCAGGTGACTCCAGATTCTTCCATAGTATCTCTCCATAATTGGAAATGGAGGATGAGCTCCAAGCAAGAAGCTGACCACCGATGCTTTCCAGTAGATGGCTTCCTCCTGCACTTTTTCAGGCTTAATCTTGGTGACTACTATTCCATCAATTGCCTTTGGTGGTATGAAAGCAAGTTTCATTTTCGATTTCCTCAAGCGTCTGACATCATAAGTGTCCCAGGCGTTGGCCCTTCCTTCAGTCTCCGATTCATCTGCCCACGATGATTTCTTCTTCCCTGACGATTCCCCTATCTCAATCATTTGATTTGATTGCTCAATTTGAGGATTGCTGCCCGATTTAGAAGTTTCCCCAATTATTCTAGGGTTTAGGTCAATGTGCTTATCCATTCTCTGTATTGCCTTTACGGTCTATTCCCTTTGGTTTGCTTTTACTCTCTATCGGATTCTCCTTCTCTACTTCATCCTCTTGCCTAGCTTTCTTTGCAGGCTTCCTGCCCCTTGCCATGGCGTGGCTCACGTTAGCAGTGGGCTAAAGTGCGCCCAGAGAACGGGAGAATATTTTCAGAATTTTCTTTGGCATGGTTATTTTCAGAATTATCTATAGATGAATATAAAAAAGTCTGTTGACCTAGTAATTTCTTAAATATGATTGTCGAGCGGTATGCATGTGACATCAGTGTTGTATCACCTTTTAATTAGGTGCAATACATTAATTTATTAATTGAATAAATGTTTCCCTCAGTATTAATAATGATAGTCATCTCACCCTCACGAATATCACTTTACATGTTTAGTGATTATATGGTGAACCCATTTTCATCATATTTGGTGCACTGGATATGTGGGAACAAACTAGTGTTAGGAAGATATAATTATTTTTTTAATATAGCAATTGTAGAATACATACTATTGTAATTTTCTCTAAGAAATAGGGTTCAAAAATTCAAAATATAATCTTGATTATTCAATCCTAATATAAGTCAAATCCATATCCCTTTTACCCTATTAAAGCAGAAGACATTAAGCTTATGTGGCAACTACGTATGCATCTGTTTTGGCTCCAATGCACCATATTTCATATTTCAGAAGTCTTTTTGCCACGTGTAAGTCTCTTTTAATTAGAAGTTATATAATTTTTTTTAAAAAAAAAACACATATTTTACTACAAATAAGGATCAGTTACATTTCAAACGAATGGATATATTAATTCAAATTCAAATGTCCAATCGTATAGTTTTGCAGGTTTAATATAAACAAAAAATAAAAATACCTAAATCCAGAAATTAAGAATAATGCCTTATAAACTAATTATTTATTATTCCCTTATAACCTCATATTTATAGGTATATTTTTTTAAGCCCCAAATCATAGCATAAAAGATATATACGCTAAATTAATTCCTCAAATAATAGTAATTCAATTAGATTTTAATAAAATAGTAATTTAGAGGGGACGCCCGGGCATCTGTCTGGGCCAAGTATCTAGTTACTTAGTTAAAGCAACATTCAAGAAGGATAGATGTCAGCTCCACGTTCAATATTTTCCCGCCAAAGGCCATTTTCATCACAAAATGATTTCTGCCACGTCGTTTCTAAAACTGGGCTGCTATTTGTTCCCCCTAAATCCTAGGTATTGCTCCCTTTAGACAAATTTACTCTTGCCATAATTTCAAACCCACAATATGGACATCCAAATTCCAAGAAAACATAAATCTCTTGAATTTGGAGATTGGAGAAAGATTTTAGTTGTAAAATGGATCAAATTTTTGGCACCCTTTCTTCGATTATTGCCGAGCAGGCTGTGTGATACGCACCATTCAGCGGTGCCACCGCAGGAGCATTCAGATGCATTTGGATACGTGGAGCATCACCGGTTTTTGATTGATATACACCTCAAAATTGTTGTTGGGTTAAGAAGATAGGTTTGCAAATTTGATAGCAGGATTGTGTCACAATGGATTAGAACTTGATTACAATTAAGTACAGGTAGGAAGAAATATTAATTGGAAATATCCGATCACCATCCCATCCGGTCATGGAAAAGTTGCAGAAAATGGTGGTGGCAGCGTCCCAAAAAGCATCCCATCTTGTCGTTTAGGTGTTTGGAGTATACGATATTCCTGCCGATGGAACGTCAACACAGGACGCATGTAGCCCTGGACAGGCGAACCAGTTTTTGTCTCCACCTCTCGGAGGGCCATCTGGGCTGGACGCCTTCTCCGCCGGTCATACGTGGTCGACGGTCGCCTGACCCAGCGAGAACTTCTTTTTCCTTTTTTTTAGGTTTTGTTAAAGTAATTTTTAATGAATTTTTAGATAATTTTTTTTAATAAAAACTCTTCTCTTATAGTTCTTTTTTTTCATTTTATTAGAAAAACTTTTTAAAATATATTTTTCTTAGTAATAAAAGTTTTCTCAAATAATATTAGCTTCAATTGAATGTGAACCAAAAGAAATAAGAGAAAAAAAAAATCTCAATAAACTCAATTAATTTTCTGTAAGTGATCAATAGTAAATCCGGACCGATCCTACGATCCTTTACGATCCTGACCGATACTGACTGATCCCACTCCGATCCCATTGCAAAATTTGAGTTTGATCGATCCAGGATCGATTTAGGTACCTAGATCCTATGATCCAGGATCACGAGTTTACAAACTATGGATCTGACTAGGCAGGTAAATGAATTCTATAATTAATTTTCATCACTTTTCAAAACTCATAGCTAAAAATAATCCAACAATTTATCCTCTCAATTTGCAGATATTGGTGAAAATCATCGTGGGGTAAGAAGTTGAGAAGTAGAATCGTCCATGAGAAGAAAGCAACCGGGGACAAACCAGCCAAAGATGAACCACCGACAATTGGGATGGGCGACCGGTTAATTAGCGTACAATGATAACGTAGATCGGGCGCGGCAATATCGAAGAAAAGGATCAAGCCGCCTCGAGGAAACAGACCGCCGACAAAATAAAGAGAAATTCGGTGACGTGTCCGCGATGAATAACCGGCAACCAAAATTTTAAGGCGGCTACTCAAGGGTTGTGTCTCCTCTTTCGGAAATCCATTTATATCTCAGAGGTAATTATTGCTAGTTTGCTACATCTCTTTCGGGTCCTTCTGTTATCAATATCTTCTTTGGGAGCCAATAGGTGGCGGTAATCCTGCGTGATGGACCCGAAAGTATTCAGATGTTATTTAGGGGTTTGAACATTTGCATCCTTAGTAGGATTGTTTTTGCATTATGCCTTCTTAATCAAATACAATCAGGTAATTTTTAAAAAACACAAACTCAAGGTTAATGGTTGCACGATGTGGTTAATCTTAGGTGTTCCACACTCAGATTACAATTTAAAAACCATATCCATTGAGTTTACCCTTTCTTTAATCTCAAACCTGGATTTTTTATTTTATGATTGTCTAGGATGATTTTAATTTCGGGATTTGGAAGTTTGGCTACTTGGCTGTTCCAATGATTCAATTTGGTTGACTATGGTACGATATTGATACGATTATTTAATACAGAATTTGTATTTATTTTTCATTTTTTTGTTTGAATTAATTGGGACTCATATTTGAGTTTGGATTGGATATCTTTTCACACAGGTTTCCCTAGACATGTCAAGAGAACCATAATATGATTTCTAGCTTCCCATATTGCATTTATTGGAAGGGTAGCAACATAGGAAAATCAAAGGAGAAGCTTTGCAAAAGGGCAAATCATCCTACAGGATACATGAATCAGAGCCCTTCTTTTAGTTTGGCTAAAGGTATTTTTGTTGATTACTGCTTCATCAAATTGATTGTTCTTTAACCCTTGTGGTTTAGGATTCTGTAGGAGCTGCGGACTCTAGGTTCCCCTGGCTAAATGCGTTTGTCTGTAGTCGTGAATTTGGCGTTCTTAATGACATCTCTAATAAACTCAAGGCCGAACTCGATAGGTATGCCATGTTTCAATGTGTTTTGCTTCCCTTTGTTGCTATTTGTTTTATATGACGCGTTGCTAAAGTTTGAAACTTTTAAGTTTTGCTTGGTGAATTCCTGAGTGTTCTTAAAGATTAAATAGGGAAAAATTATCGAGCTTCTCTCCTCTTACTAAAATGTTGTATATGGCAATTTTGATTTCTCTATAATCAAGGACAGTTTCTTTCTTTTTGGCTATTATTTGCGTATTGATGACATGTTTAGTAATAATATTAAATTCAGAAATTGATATTGTTCTTTTTATCTATTGCCATTCTAAAGTTTGAACTTACAGAGATTAAAAAATACCTATTGGATTTCTTCAGTGCACCAATATTTTTTTTCATTTATGGAAAGTTTGTGGAACAAAAATGGCAGTGCTTCAAGAGGGGTTGAAAAGTGAACAACAGAAAGTCTTCCATTAACGTTTATTTGCATTCAAGTTAAAGTATCATTTCTAATACTTTTTGGGTGCTGAAACAGTAGTTATGAAGGAAATAAAATTTTGTGCTAGATGCCTTTATTGTCTCTGCAATATATACTCTTTTTTAACAAAAAATTGCAAGATGATCTTGGCAATAATTTTTTATAAACTCTACTATTGGGGTGTTGTATTTTCTCAACTACTGAGTTTTTAACTCGCCTCAACCTTTGCTTCATTCGGTTAGCAGGAAGGACTTATTTGGAAGTGATGCAAAATATAATGGATGAAGATGCTGATGATTTTGAAGTTTTGAAAATACCTATGAATGGAGGAACTACTGCAGTGATCTTCAAGTAATAAGTACACAAATAAAGTCTTTTCCTTTGTAAAGCTTCACGGTGATACAACCAAATGTTGAAGTGAGGATGTTGAGTAGGTAACAAGTTCATGACGTTACCGAGTCTTCTTGCATGGTATTCGAATAATTATGAAGCGATATTATTCAAGTCAACAAAGGAACAAAAGTAAAAATTTCTTGAATGTAAGTGTCCTATTTATGTTGTCTAAGTAGTAGAAAAGAGAGATTTATAGGCTGATTAGCTATGGTTGTACTTAATGCGGTAAAGTAGTTCTTCAGTTTGTAGTGGTTTTGAATGACCCTCTGTACCTTTCACTTTTACATATTCAATTAGAAATCTCATTTACCCTATGAGATGATTTATTTTTCTTTCGAATTTTAGGTTTGAGAATTTGGACTGAAGCCGTTGTATTGTTTGATTAGATGTTTTTTTTAACTGACTTAAATTACAAGCGGTCTCTCATGCATTTACCCGGGACAACCATCTAGTTCATATTAAAACCCTCTCTCTTCTATTGTTCCCTAATAAAAAAAAACTTGCAATCGTCATATCGAT